CATCTAGCCACATCGATGTAGAAAGCTGGGAATAGAATGCTAAGTGCTGGAATAGTATAAGAAAATGTGGTGCATGTAAAACTTGCTACTAGCATACAAATGTCTGCACTACCTTTATCTGCAAACAGTGAGTGCATAAATCAGTGCAGTTTGTGGCACTAAGCAGCACGACAAGCAAAGCTTCTCTTTGTCTGTACTGTACAACTGTGTGACTTCAGTACACACTTTCTTTTCCAAACACTGTGGATGTTTCATTCCCCAGCTTTGTTCATCTAAAAGTTTGGCATCTCATTTGAGATGGAGGTGCCTGCCAAGAAAAAGTAAATAACTACCTTACACTGCATATTGACTTCAGCTAAATAAAAGTTAAGTAACATCAATCTCCTCCTTTGTTAGTAGAGTGCAGCAAAACTTGGAATTTTCAATCCGTTTTGTCATGATTCCTCCCCAAGCAGGACTTTTATTTATTTATTTTTTTAAATAATGGATATTCTGGAAGGTTTCGATACAAGCTAAACAAACAATGCTGACATTCTGGTAATTGAAATGTTTCATTGCAGTTTGTTGAACTGCCCTGACACATTTCTTCTCAAATTGGTTCAAGCTGAAATGCTATTTCACAGTACAATATGCTTTGTGTGTAGTATTTGAGCAGTAGATTGAGGACTTCTCATGTTTACCAATTAGTTTTCCTCATTTTTTTAAATCCTCCTTTCTCTAATTCCAACAGTAGCCCACAAGAAGACAGCCCTTATTTATTCTCTTTCTTGCAAATAACCAAAAAGTTTTAAAATTATGTATATACATACGTATTTTTGAGATGGGGATCTGACTCTCAACAGTGGAGCAGCAGAAAAAGAGCAGCAGCAGACAGCAGCTGGGCACACTGGAAAGGCTGAAGAAGAGCAATCGTGCTCAAGAGACCCACGAGCAGGTGAGATGCAACACATGGCTATAAGAGGAGCCAACCCTTCAGCCAATGCAACCTGCTGGGTTGCTGCATCTCACCTGAGAGCAGGAGAATGCCCCCAGCTTGAGCTTCCAAAAAGCAGCTGTAAGACCTCAGCAATTAGCAGGTCATCTTTCTGCCCTCATAATGGTAGGCTCCAGCCACAACATCTGCTCAGAATCACACAGAATTCTTGCAACACAGCTTTTCATTTCAGCTGTTTCAACCATTCTTCCATATTTCCTCTGAGAAATGGCAATAACTTGAATGCAAAATACCAACGGCAAGTGTGGCATGGGAGAGAGAATATGCCAGGGTAGAGCAGCTTTACTTATGGCCAAAAATCAATTACCATCCTTCATTGAGATAGGGCTGAACACAATCCTGCATGCAAGACCTGGAGCCAACAAGTATTGAGCATGTTTTATTGACATACTTCTTGCCCAGTCCTCAGGAAAGGATTTAAATTATGAATATTTGCTTATTACTGATTATTAATGCATGGAAAGTGCTGTATATGACTAATGCATTTTTTCAGCCTACCTCATTTCTCTGTTTTCCCTAAGCAGTCTTCATTTAAATTCTGAGTGGAGTGAATCATATGTTTATATGCATTCACTACAGTGTTTGGGGATCCTCATCTCATGCTGAGGGAATGGCACCTCTCCCTGGTAAGTACATAGGGTTCCAATTCCCGTTTATTAAAATGCTTCAATCAAAAAGAATTTTTCAGGAATATGTTTGCCATGAGGCTCCCACCAACGGCACTAAAAAGACAAGCATTCATGATGAGATCAGTATCTAGACTAGAAAATTTGCTGTGTTTAATATATTAATTGTTCTCCCTTTACGTATTTTCTCTCTACTTCTCCTCTGTGGGCATGTGAGATGATAGCAGTGAGGTGTGAGATGAAGAAAACTCCCTTTGGACTTACTGAGAATAGCTAACATCAAAACAGCTCACACCTGTGTCAAACTCCACAGCTTGGCATGATCCCGAGGAGCAGGTTGGGGATCACAGGAAGGAGAGAGCAGGTAGAAAGAGCTTGGGTTAGTCAGCTGCAGGATTTCCTTTTGATTCCCGTATTTGATAACCTCAAGTTCTGTCTCTAAAGCAGCCAGCTGCATGAGGCAAGGATAAACCCCACTATTCAGGGAGTGACTCCTGACAGTGGATTTCAATTATTTTAGAGAATCTTGAAATAGAGTACTTAATCAGATAAGGATCAGGAAGCAGATCTGATAGAGGTACAGACAGTTTCCTTTGCCATCTAACGTGAAAATTTATTAATGTGGGAATGTTTTGAAGGATTTTTGTACATGATTCAAAAGTAATGAAGTATTCTGTACAAGCAAGAGCACAAAAGTAGTTGAAGACCTGGGCAAAGATGTTTTTGAGCTTCAGAGAAGTTGGGAAAAAGAAGTGGGGCTGAAGAAAGCTGTCTGTGCCCTGGGAAGGGGGCTGTAGGCTGAGGACCTTCTCCAAGCTCTGCAGCTTGGCAAATAAAGAGGAAATCAAGTATAAAATATTTCACAGTGCTTATATTCATAGAATGGATGGTTTTTTTTTTTTTTTTTTTTAAACTCTCCCTAGTTAGCACATTTCTACTTATGTACTTAACTGACATTAATATAATATTGCAAAATAACACTGCTTTAAGAGCTCATAGGATCAAACAGAGCAGTGATCATATATGCCACAACCATCACAAATAAACTATTACAAGTCGAAGGAGGAAGGTGAATAAGAAAGAATATCCTTTTCCCCTCAGGGTGAAACAAGACTAGCTGCTGTATTTCTGTAACAAAAGATCAAATTTGTCCAAGTCATTCCCAGGAAGCTATGGGGTTTGACTTATTTTGCAACGTGTCCATCACAGTTCTGCTGTCAGAACCATGTGGGATTGGTATTTTCTTTCTTTTTCCCTCCAGCATACATAGCCCAACCTGACTTAAAAAAAAAAAAAAAAAAGCTAGAAGAGGAATCTACAGAGATTACAAATGCTGCATAATAACATGAGAACTGATACAAGCAAAGGTTTAGTTAAAACAGTGTGTTTGTACGTGACATGGCAGGATTTAATCATACACACTAGTAAGTCAAAGCAGGTTTTTATGAGCAAAGATGTGTGATTTTAGTACTTTAATTAGCTGTGAAGAGGAATTACAGCCATACAAAACCTCTTTTCATTTCTGCTTTCTATCACAAAGATGTCTGTGAAAAACACCATACAGATGATTTACTTTACTTTCTCTAAAGCTGTGGCATTATCTATTTTGTCATTTAATAATCCCAAAGCCTCAAATTCTACCCCGCACCAGTGGACACACAGGCAATAATGCTTTGCACATGAAGTGTTCTAAAATCCTCCCATTCACTTCAGTGCAAATCCTGCTCCTTTTGTTTACTTTTGCTCAGCAGCAAAGGCCTTATGGGATGCTTAAAAATTACAGCGTGCTTATAATTATTGTTAGTGAATTAATACAGGAGTATAAGTAAATACTGTACACAGTATGTGAGTATTTTTTATGAGTAGATCAGATGGGGAATATCACTGTGCTGGGACTTCAAGGTCTAAGCTTAATTCAGTGATTTGAATTGTAAGTTTTAGATGGTGCTCTCTTCACTCCTGTTGCCTGACATCAGAAAATTCAGAGCTTACTCACGGCAAACTGCATAACTGAGCATGCAGTGTGCTGTGGTAGACCACATCCAATAGGAAAGAATAGGCATTTTTGTCAGATAGACCGTGCAATCAAAATGCAAATAGGAATACCTGAGCGAGCACTAGTTAGAAAAGTATTCTTAGTTAATAGCTGAGTAGTTAAATGGAAAATAAAACTGGCATTATTCAAGAGACGGAAAAACCACTGGAAATTTCTCTACATTCTCTAGCACAGATTGCTTGCCCAGTTTTTTCTGTTTTGCTGCAAGTGCCTCAGTGAAATCTCTCCTCAGCTTTGCACTTTCTTGCACACAGTTTAAATTCACTTTTATCAGCATTGTACACCACAGTAGTATGGGATAGGAAAATACTTCCTTGCATCACAGTTTGAGATAAAGTTGTTTTAGAGAACTGAAGTGATATTCCATACGTGACCCAAAGTAGCATCTTTGAACAACTGGCACTGTCTGCAAAATCTGGTGTTTGACACCCAGAACTTTATGAATTACTAGCTCTGGTTTAGGCTTTGAAAGTGATGATGTGATAGAATGGTGTTGCTGTTACGTCTGTGAATTGAAGGAGCTGCTGAGGAAGATTTCACTTCTTAGACACCGCTGCCTATTCTGCCTGTTTGCCTTCATTTCTATATAATAGGAATATCTATTATATCTAGAATATAATATATGGGGATAGAATTGTTTTACACCGTGTCTGCTATTCACAACTTACTCACGTCTGTAAGTTACTTTTAGTTTTGATACTTTAGTGTTTAATTGCTATCAGCAGGTAATACTATAGTGAATTTGTGGCAACTCACAGACCAGCTATTAGCCAGGACAGACCCCAAGCCAGCAAAGCCCTGCACAAGACCATGCTACCACATGCCAGTGTGTAAGGGAGCATTCTGGCACACTGATCCAGTGGCTCAGTACTGCCCGAACAGCACAGACAGAGGATATGGAGGATGATTTAGGCATGGGTAGTTGTACAACCTGTACAGATGCCAAGCAATTATGCTGCAGCCTGGGGGTATGTTCCACTTCCCTGAAGCCTCCACTGATGTCTCCTACATGAAGCTGATTCACTCAGGCTTTTGCACGTGGCAAACAGTTGGCTTTAATAGCGTTGCAGTGAGTTAACTGCTGATGAACACAAACGTATGTATCATACAATTACCCCAGCGTATTCAGTTTGTCTTTGTTCTCAATCAGCTTTCTATCTGCAGGACTGTATGGCTATTGCTAAAGAAGAACAGGCCTCTGGCATCAAAGCTTTCCATCAATAAGCTGTCAAAAGCAATACGAACTCAGCTGTGTTGCGGTGATGTTTAAATGATATTAAAACAAAGAACACCCAACAATCCAGCAGCTGCTTTATTACACTACCTTTTGTTCAGGCGCAGCACCTCGGGGCCCTTTCTCCAGTCAATAGCTGCTCTGGGAGAAGCACTTGGTCTACAACCAATGGTGACTTCACCACCAACTTGAACAACAGATGTTTTTTTCACGGGATTTTTGGAAAAATCGGGGGCTGCCGCTAAGAATAAAGAAGAGCAGAATGCAGCTGATGAGTTATTAAACAAACTTGCTGAATTCTTTTGAGTAACACAGTAGGTGAACTCAGTAATTGCTTTGCTTTTTGGGTTTCTACAGAAGTGGATGTGTCAAACACGTGGAATATATCTGAGTCAAAAAGCATGGAATTCACTGAGTCTTATTTACACTGCTGTTCTGAACTCTTTAGTGAGACATCTCTCCTTGGGATTCTCTGTAGACTGGGACAACATGTCTGTCTGGGGTAAGGGAGGCTCCTGAGCCACATCAGCAGTAGGGACAGAGCTCACTCCTGACCCCAGTCACTGCTCTTCACCCACAGCGTTTAGAGGATTCAATTACAAACACCATTTTTCAGTGACTGTCAGTTCATCTGTTTTCTGAAAGCATTATGCACAGATCTGTCCAGTAATCTATGGGAAAATTCTCTCGGAGAAAGAGAAAACAAGTCCTGTACAACAGTTAGGTGCTCCCAAAATCAGTGTTTCACTGCTTTCAGTGGCACTTAGCTGTAGAACAGCCTTTATGTTTTGATATCTACACTGGAATACTTTTCACAGTTTGTGAAAGAATCCCATTTTATGTGCATCTCTGGTTATTCTTCATGAGATTATTTGTCGTGTTATGTTTTTATATACACACATGCCATATGTGCTTTATGTAATATTAAAACTTTTCCCACTTTCTGAAATTATTTTTAAAGCTGCAAAATAGCTATGAATAGCTCAAAATACAAAGTGAGAAGCATTATTTAAACTTGGAAGAGATCACATGTGGGATTAGAAATTTCCCCCAAAACAGCCATGAAACCAATAAACATTTACATACAGTTTGTGAAATTCAAGCAGCAAAAAAATAGGAACAACCTTGAATTGCCAGGTAAAATTTAGCCATTTTTTTTATCTCAGATTTTAAAGGGAGTGTCCCATTACATGCCATTTTAATGCCATTTACTCACCTATGACCCTCAATTCAGCACTGGCATAAATAGTATCGTACTTGTTTTCTGCCACACATTGATAGAGGCCAGAGTCTGACATATTCAGCATCGGTATGATAAGAGTTCCATTTTCCACCTGAATTCTCTCCTGATAAAGGAAGAATAATCAATCAAAAAACAAAAGAAAGAAAGAAAGAAAAAGATTAACATAGCTAATAAACATACAACAAACATACAATCCCAAACATTTTTGGTATCACACTGTTGCACCTGATCATAACTCAGGAGTAGAGGTGCTATTTTCTTTGAAAATTTAGAAGTGAACAAGTGATCAGTTACAATAGTTGTTATCTTTCCAGACCTCCTAACTCATGGTCTAAACCCCCCTGTTCTATTAATCCAATGATCATAACTGAAGGTGATCAGAAAACCTCCCCAGGTGACAGAGGTATTCAAATAGCCAAAAAGTCTGAAGTATCATTGGATCCACTGAGAATGTTCTGAATCGTAGAATGGCCTGGGTTGAAAAGGACCACAGTGCCCATCTAGTCCCAACCCCCTGCTGTGTGCAGGGTCACCAGCCACCAACCAGGCTGCCCAGAGCCACATCCAGCCTGGCCTTGAATGCCTACAGGGATGGGGCATCCACAGCCTCCTTGGGCAACCTGTTCCAGTGCCTCACCATCCTCTGGGTGAAAAAGCTCTCTGCTGAAAGCCAACTCCTAAATTTCTATTGGAGCACATAGGCAGCTGTTCAGCTCAGAGGAACATGTTCCTCATGGCTTGAATTTCTATTTACATACACTGCTTTGGTGTAATTCTGCTAAAATAGAGAAAACTGCACAATAGGTAAATTTGGACAAGAGGTTGATTTTTGTGTACTAAGTTATTTTGGCAAATTAAAAAGCCTGTTTCATGATACAAGCATAACTTAAAGCCAAATATTCTGTGATTTGTTACTAGTCTTGGAGAGCTCTGGCTGCACTGCAAGTGTAACACTGAGAAGGAAGAGCAAGTATATTCTCCAAAACAGATCTGCGAGGAAGAACCCCACAACAGGCAATATAAATTCCATCATCAAGTGCAAATCTGAAACAACAGATATTGCTATTATTATTATACCTCTTCTTTAGTCCAGCTCTACTGCCTCTGAAACAGTAATGGGAACACACGTTAAGCAGTACAGTCCTTTGCTGAACAGCTAGAAGCATCTATAAGATCTCTGTGAAGCGCAGAACAGATTAGCCCTCTGCATCCCTGCGGGAGATTTCTCTCTGTGCTTGCAGAGAGGAGGGTGCCACCTACTGAGCCATGGAGCTCTGTGTTTTAGTGCTCTGTCTTTTCCTTGGAGGTCTCCCAACCAAGAACTGACTGAGTCCAATCTTGTTCAGCTCAGAAATTTGATGTGATCACAGCCTGCGGCTGTATGGTTGGTGTATTGCAAGCTAATTAACAACATTACATTACTTATCTACTGTTAATTTTTTGAGGCTCTTGCTACAAATATCTTCTGCGTACTTAGTTTTACCTTCAGGCTGTTTGCTATCCTCTTGGTGCATTCTATTTTTACAAACATCCTTTGAATACAAAACCCCCTTCTGAAGCAAACTTGCATTTCATACACATGCTGAATCCCCCTCCATTCTCAGCTGGCTCTTTTGAACTACACAGACAAAGAGAAGAATAAAGCACACCATGTACACAAGCAGGAATACTGCAGAGATGACCAACCAGGTGGTCAGGGAAAAGGGCTTTACAGAGAGCAGATGATATCCACAGAATCAGCCCCGAGATGGAAAGCATCATATTTCCAACAAGCAGGGTGCTGTGATGGTCTGAATATTTTATTACACATCTCTTGTACTTTCACCTGCAAACTATCCATTTCATCCATTGAGCAATAACATTCAGTATTTTGTTGCCTGAAGTATTCCATTTACAATATACTGTAAGCACTGTGAAAATGTTTCTGTAGAGTTTTATCCTTTTTTTTTTTTTTTTATTGAAACGATGCAATTGTAGAGTGGCAGGCTTTAAATATCACTGTCTTCAAAGAGAAAAACTAGATAATCTTGTGTAGGAACAGGCAACAATATGAGTAAAATTACTGGGTTCTGAAAAACTGCAATCCAAGTAAATTCTGGGTAGCTTTCTCAGGTGCTGGTTGAGCTCTGTTTAGGACTAAGCCAAAAGAAGATCACATGGAAGATTGGACCCCCTTCCAATTTTTTCAAATAAGCACCAGTAAATCAAACAAAGTGTAAGTTCTGCACCCTAGCAGGTACAGAACACATTTATTTTGGAAGTGCTTCTGTATCTGTTCTTGTTAGACAGAAACTAATCACAGTATTATTTTTTTCCTATCAAGTAAAAAATGCATTACAAATGAGCCACGCCATTTCACGCTCAATAGATGCTGCACGGATGCTAATAAAAAGGGAAACGTGGCCTCAGCAGAACACAAATGCAGCAAAGAATCTCTTGTCACAGAAGTCGGAAGACTGGAAGATGGATGTACCAAAGCTTGGCCGCCACAAAAGAATAATTATACTGCTCTCAAAGAGCCAAAGCTGAGTTCTCAGAAACCAAACTGCATAAGTAACTGATCAGCTCTTTTAAATGTCTGAACTCCAATTGATTTCCTCTCTCATCCCCCACTCGTACCACTCTACTGCTTCCTTCTCCACTTTGGTCTTTCTTTGTCTTTTAAGTGAGTTTATCATTTATTCCCCTTTTTCTAGTTACGTTGTGGTTGGACTCAATGATCTTTAAGGTCTTTTCCAACCTGAGCAATTCTATGATTCTATGATTCTTATAACTTTATATGGTCTTCTTTGGTCTGTTATTCCACTAGTGGGTGTCAGCTGTCTACTAATCAGTTAATAACCGATTACTCAATTAAGTTAATAACTGATAACTCAATCAGTTAATAACTGATTTTCATGGCTAATTCAGTTAAAGGATTAATATGCACAAGAACAGCCATACTGCATCAGAGGTCCATCCAGCCTCCAGGTTAAGAGCAGAAGCCACAGAACCAAGCAGTTATTGGGCTGATCAGATTGCTCTGAAATACTCTTCCACAGCCAGCCAATTAGGGCAGGCATCCTACAGGCTTCCCAAACTACACGTGGCCTACACATGCGTTCACTATTTATGGACAGACCCTTATTTCACTAGTTATAATGGTGATTTATTAACCCATCTATACTTAGTGTCATATCTTGTAGCACTCAGATGCTTTGCGAGATAAATTATAACTGACATTTTCAATATATATGAACTCAAAGTACCGAGGCTTTATGTTGCAAAGTTTATGATGTTACACTAATTATCATTTCTGAAACTTATTACATTTATGAAACTAGTAACATATTTTACAGTGAACGTCATAACTAAATCCTGTAAAAATAAGACAAGAAGTTAAAAAGACAGAGCCTTACCTCTGACGTGAGAGGCTGGCCATTTTTTAACCAGCTGTAGGAAGGGGTTGGTTTTCCTTTTGCCTTACATTCCCAAAACAAACTGTCATAGAGAGACAGAAAGGCATTTTCGATTTTTTTATCCCACTCAGGGAGTGCTGAAAAGAACATGCAAACCATTTTAAGCAGGAGAAAAAATGATTTTGCTGGAAGTATGCTGCTGTTAATTAATGAACTGAGCTAAGCTAATTAGTATTTGACCAAAACATTCACGTTGCCTTACAAGTAAATTCTGCACAACAGATCTCCTGGCATTGAACTTCAAGACTAACTTGGGAAGATGTCAGAAATTAAGTGATCAGCAGATTCAGTTTAGACATTGTTTTTCATGGCCAAAATTTGCAGAAATGATTATTTTAGATGCCCAAAAGTCTGGACACTCCTCTCCAGGTGCTATAATCTGTGTACCAAAAGTAGAAAAATCCAAACTATTAGTCACTAGCTAATCAAATTCACAGACTATAAGTGCTACCTACTGTGTTTTACACGCATACCTGAGATGATGGTTTTACATCACAGGTTCTTCAGGTATAACTTACAAGGGACGCTACGCAAAGGAACTGGGGTTATTCAAAACAGCTTCTGAACACTTGTGATGCACTGACAAAAGGTATTACTTTATAAAAACAAACAAACAAGCAAACAGAATATGCAAGAATCACAACGAAGCTCTGTAAACATCCAAATAAACACAGAAGGATGGAGCTGAGGAGGAGTTAGCATGAGGCTGACATACAAAATAGTTGTAATATATTGGTGAATATGAGAGCCAGGGAGAATGACCAATGCCCAGCAGGCTCTGAGATGCACCAAAGCCGCTGACAAATGTGGTTCTACATTGCATCCCCCTGTGCCTCAGGTGAGTGGCTGATGTCTCAGCATCCCACGAAAGATTCTTGGCTAGGCTAAGTCATAAATCTGTGTGTGCATATACTCCAATTTCTTATATACAGTAATTTCATTTCAGGAAGAGATTTGTTATCTTTTAAGATGAGCAGAACAAGCTTCTAAAAAATAATCATTAAATAAACCTACCTCCATAGCACAACCCTATGGGGATAGCCCATGGCTGTGCCCCAATGAATCACCTTGACACTACTACAATGCCTTCACAGGGCATGAAAGTCTACTAAAGACAGACCTCTCCACGCTCAAAAGTGACTCTAATTACACGTTGTCTTTATTGCTCTCAGAGCCTAAGACATATGCACAAAGCAGCATCCAGTGCCCAACAAAGAAACCCCATTTCCTAAAGATGAGCTGCTTATACAGTGAGTAAAACACAGCAGCACATGAACTAAGAGGAAGTCAATTATGTAGATAACATGCAAGTGCGCTCCTAATACGATAAAAATTCTTGTGCAAATTCTTCACTTTCTGTTTACATATTTACTATGAACAGCCAAAGCACAATTAATGAGTATATTCTTTCAAACTGTAAGAACTGATTAAAATTTTGTAGTTGCCTATGTTGTTATCAGTCACGTCCAGGTAGTTTAGTAAACTTAATTTTACTGGAATTCTTTGACATTCTGTGCAAATTAGTGAGCAATATGAGCAAAAATAACCCCTTAAAAGCAAAAAAAATAATTAAATATTCAAAGCAGCAGCAGACTGCTCTATTCCCAGCATAGATCTTGATGTTAGCCATGGCAGCAGGAGTGGTAGCTTATTAGCAAAGCTTGCATTGCTTTCTTCGTGAAGGTCTTCTCACCAGATATTAATTGGAGGCACATAGTCTAGCTTTTCTGTAATTCCTTTTTTATTAAGAAGTTTTATTTTTTCTCTTATTTTCAAAGACCCATAAGGTAAGGAAAAGACCTCCATATCTCTTACTCACACACAAACATTGCTTTTTTTTCCTGAGTATTAAAAACAGGACTAAAGAGTATATAATTTGCTTTGGCTAAGGGGAACATCATGCATAACTTGGACCAGAGGAAATTAATGCGTAGGATGGGAAGGGAAATGGGAGAACAGTTTCACAGAAATATTATTGCCTGCTTTTACACAAGGAGGAAGGAGAGGGAGGCAACAAGATGAGTTTCCCCTGCTTTGCCCTCATCTGTTTCTGGAGAAGCATCGTTCAGCTAGAACTCATACGAACCAAAATCTCATGAATCCTTCCCTAATCTGCATCAGGGGCAGCACAGTTTTTTCTGCTGCTGTGAGCTACTGAGAGTAAATCTTTTTGCCTGCCCTTAATGTTTCATGTAAATGTACCAGGGATTTTTTTTTCTGCTTTGTATTAACCTTTACAACTTCATCATGGCACAGCCCACACTTTCAATCTGAGTTTTAATGCAAAATATCTTTATTTGCTGAGGATATAATTCAGTGAAGGTCACTGCAGACCTGCAATCATTTTTTAATCAGCTTAACCTGAACTACATTTCATATCTCCAGTAAGGGGCTAATAGACTTCATCTACAAAATACATCTGAATGTTATCAGGCCATGTAGAGAAAAAAAAAAAGAAGAAATTAATCAATCTGCTTACCATAGACGAATAATTGACCTCTTGCAATGTTTCTGCCTCGAATGTTTTCTGCAATGCACTCATAAGAGCCTTCATCTTCTTGCTGAACATCCGGGATTTCAAGAACTCCTTTGTTTTTGTCGTGTTTGATTTTCTTTGTCAATGAGCTTCCATCAGACCTCCTCCAGCTGATATTAGGGACTGGACTAAATAATTATGTTTGTTAGAGAAAGAGTGAGTGTTTGTTACAGAAAAAAAGATAATGTGAAATCCCTTTGTAAGAATCATATTTCAAAAAAGAAATCATTTCAGTTTCTAAGAGCGACTTGCAGAGGTTCATAAGATTGAGGTTTTATAACTCACCCAACCTATTTAGGGACACAAGCCTAACTGTGGTGTGAAGCCCTCAATGATTGCTTGTAAAGCCAATTTTTATTTTCCCCACAGTAACTGTGAGAGTTCGGTGAAGGGACAATTCTGGAGGTCCAAAAAAACACCACAGAAACACAGAATAATTGACTTGTTTTGGAGAAAACAAATTCCCTCCGGCAACAGAGGTATTTTCACTCCTCAAAATAAGAAACATTGCACAAGAATTCAAAGAAGCTAAAAAAGACCAATAAATCTAGGTATAAAAAATGGGATCTGAAGTAGAGGAGGGCAGGAAGACAGTTGAGCAAGGAAGTGGAGAGCATGAGAGGCTGAAAGGAGATAGAGACTAAAGAGAATATTTCTTGTTTCATGTTTTCATTTTCATTTACATTTAGATCAATGTATTCTATATGATAAAAACAGGCAAGTGTAAAGAAGGCTACAAATAATTATTGGATTCCTGGTAATATCATACACCATACAAGCTTCGCTATCATGATCTATTATGTCACCAGAACACTTTGAAATATTAATAGCGTTGGATTTCACAGTTGCCTTCTGCTACAGCAAACCAAAGTAAGCTGCTTTTTTTCTAAGCAAACGAGCAGTGACATTTTGAACAGCTTCTTACAGTGGTTTTGATTAAGGCTGCCATCTATTCCATCGGAAGTCACATCAACAACAAACACTTGGTGCTGAACTTTAAAGCACGACGTCCATAGAAATCAGAAGCCCACGCTGCCCTCACCTGTCAGTCCCTAAGTTCTCTGGCCTGCAGCACTGATGTACAAAGCATTTTTAACAGAGACCATAACTGCTCATACTTTGAATTATTTAGGTCCTTGGCTCGAACTCTTTTTTTATTGACCAAGGAAATCAAGTCACCAATATATAATGGAAAAAGTACTTAATGCTGTAAGCTCAGGTCTAGCTCCTGTGCTTTGAGACTAGAGCCCATAGCAAATGCAATACTTTGCTTAGCATGATTCCCTACTAGGAACTCTGAGGGGATTGACTGTTTGCCCAACACACTGGTCAGCGCTGTAGAAAGTACCATCTCCCCACCAACCTTTGTGTGATATTTCTCATGCAAAATTTCTCTAAACAGAGTTTTTTTAGTCATTTAAAAGAAAACTCTTGTGCAGAACAGGCCCATCCCAGTGCTGCCATGATCAAGCCAGGAAAACAGCCAGAGGTACTCTGCAGCCTCGTGATGGACTGACACAGACCATTGACAACATGAAGGAGAGCACTGCTGGCTTTAAAACACTACTGCATATTAAACAATGGGTGAATAGCTGCTGTATAATGGAATCCTGCAGTACTCTGAACGCCAGAAGCATTTAACTGCTTATTTTAAAGGCACCTCTTCTGTTTATCTTTTTTTTTCCCCCATATTTTTTTCCCAGATTAAAGGAAGCTAATGTTTATGCAGGAGAAGAAAAGCAATTATGCATTCATTTATATCCTGCTATCTGAAAATCCTTCATCTAAATATTTCCTATTCTATGAGTTTATTTTCCATAGCATGACTATGAATGAAGGGAAGCCTGCACTGACACTAAGGCCAGAGGCAGGGCTCTGTGGAAAAAGACCCCTCCGTCAACTTGTCAACTCAAGTTTACCAAAGCTGGCACTGAAAACGTTGTCCTGTTTTCCTTCTCCACACCAGATACTTATAATGACATCCTTGGGGATGTTTCAAGACAAACTCTCCTCCCTGTCAGCCCCATCCTTCCTAACGAGGCTGCCTCTGATGCCAGCTGCAGCAGGATGACATAGAAAACCGTTTGGGTTAGCAACTTGACTGTCTTTAAATGCATAATTGCAATAAATACTTAACTGCACTTTGTTCTTCTGGGAAAGCGTGTGCTGAGCAGCCTAGTTTTGTCAGAATAAGGAATTCATTTGTCAGGAAAACAGCCCCTCACCAACCTAAAGGTTCAGCAAGCAGCTGCAGGAGGAGCCACGGCTGAGCCTTTGGTACCATGGGGCTGGAGGAGGTCTGCATTTCTTCATTGCCTGCATTACCTCCATCCTCACCTTAGGATTTCCAGGAGCTTTAATCACTGTTTTGCAAAAGGCAGGGTTTGGGGTGGTTTCACCTTCTTCCAAAGTTAGTATATACTTTATTTAAATATATATATATCAGCACTAATATTACAGGGTGTCTGAAACATTTCAAGCTGAGAAAATCTGAATGGCTTTAAAAAGAATGAATGTAGAATTTACTTCAATGATTTTGCCTAGCTTCAGAAATACACCCTTGTGAGCTTCTGCAGGATGATGCATGGAGGTTGGAACTAGATGATATTTAAGGTCTCTTCCAACCCAAGGCATTTTATGACTGTACTTCTCATAACCACTCTATTGAAGGTCATTATCTGACATTCCAACACAGACTGGTATTTTTCCATACAGATTTGGGGTGTCTGCTTTTTGTAGTGGTTTCTAACAACCAAATTAGATGGAGAATTAAGTAATTGCTTGGGGTTAGGAAGTTTTTGAATGCGTAAAGAAACAATGAGTGTACTTATTTATTACACTTCACAGGCAAGTCTTGCTTTCACCTGAGTAAATAAGAAAACAGTGCATAAATATGAGAGTGTCTCTGTACATAAATCTATAGTATATTTGAAGTCTTCAGAGCCTCCAGGAGTACTGAGCTCAGCTACTAATTTAATTTATACTCTACCATACCTATGGCAGGATCACAAAACCGTAAGTTACCAACTTCGAAAGAAAAGGAGATGGAAAATATTTTTTGGTTAGTGACAAGTCTTGTCACACTGAACATCAGATTAATCCCTCCATAGCATCACACCCCCACACCACGAAGACAGACCCACTTTCCCATGGCAGAGGCTCAGCAGCCAGCTGATGCATGGCACCTTGACCACAGCTTTAGCCCTCTGCATCTGAGGGCACTTCACAAAAACATTAAATCACAGAATGGCGTAGGTTGGAAGGGACCCCAAGGATCATCAAGTTCCAACCCTCTGCCACAGGCAGGGCCACCAGCTGGCTTCAATAATGAAATCTCCAGCTTCAATAATGAAGACAATACCTCGTTAAACAAATGCTTCTATTTGACTTGATGTATTACTTTGGAAACAACAAAGAATCCACGTTCTCTGAAACCTGATATCATCTTTCCTTCTCCTGTGGTCACAGGCTATTCACATTAACTCCTGTGAGACTGGCCCTTGCAGAGCTGTTTGCTCATCTCTTAAGGTACAAATTCTCTGGTATTTGTTCTATCAGGAATGCAGGCTGAAAGTAGCAAACTTTACTTGTAGTAGAAAAACTGATTCACATCATGTATGGTTTTTAGAATTCTGTGCTTGATCCCTCTACAGCCTCTTGCATAAAATCTTAAAGATGTTTTTAAAAGAAGTGAAGCTTGGAGTTGTGACGTCAATTTAGTAAAGATGGTTATTTGGAACCCACTTGTGGCTGCGTTGTGTATTTGTACTAACAGCCTCTAGAAAAGCTCAGCTCTGAATATGTAAACAATAGGAAGATGTAGCATCTTCCCCTGGAAAGAAAAAAAATAGAGTATTTTGGGTTAAAAGAAATCCTGTTTTGTATTATTCAATATGCTTTTTTACAACCTCAGCTAACAATGACCCATCTGCAAGGATTCTGAACAGATTATCTCCTTATCTTAACAAATTAAATGCAGGCACAATTTAATAACTGTGCACATCCAGTACTGAAACTATTTCTGTTAGTACACGAGAAAAAAGGTACTTGAGAAGAAATCTATAGAAAAGGACAGTAAGTCAGCTGAACTAATCTGTGAGCAACTCCTTCCATGGCACTCAGTCCACTCAGACAGTGAGCCATAATTTAGATATATGGCAAGATTAATATAGCTTGATCCAAAACATGACTTTTAATACTGGCATAGTATTAAACACTGTCAACATAATGAATCTTATTGCAGAACACAAAGTCTCATCTCTTCTAATAAATTGCCACAGGCTGCAGCATCTGAGATGGTCACATTAGTGTTTCATATTTCAGTTTTCCCTCTTCAAAGAATTAAGCTATAATGTGCAGTTGTGTTCTGTTTGAATTCTCCATGCCAATCACCATAGAAATGCATGCTACTCACACTCCTTTTGTGCAGCCACATAGCATCACAGTGAGGAATAATTTACTTCTCCAAAGCTGCTATTCACAGTTTCTGTACTACGAGAAGAGCTTGCCCAAGCGCTTTGTCCATTTGAGATCCATTCCTCCAAACCGTCTCTCTGGGAATAAATAGCATCTCTTTGGCCTCCCTGTATTTATTTTCATCAAACAGGCAAGGGCTGTGTGACATCCACATTTTCATGCAAAATGCATGAACAGAGCTTTGCAACAGATTGCAATGGGGAGAACCACAAATGCTTCGTGCCAGGGGGGTGCAGTAAGTGTTGAGCACCCCAAAAGCACCCTCAAGAGGTGCACGGAATGCATTACTTCTGGGCACCCTATGGTCTGGTTGCATTTAGTTGGGTGACTTGGAGCTCCCTCTGGTAAAAAGGGCTTAAAACTCAGCCTTCGGTCAATCTGGTCTCCTCTACTTGTGTTTTAAATGCAGAAGTGCTTTTTAAGCAGCATCCAAGAGGTATGATTTGCTGTTCCGTATAGAAAAGAGATGCTATTTCTCTAAATACCGTGAAAGTACTTTCATTTAAGACTTTTGGAGACCAAAACCGCAGCAGGTTGCCTATAATCTGCCTTAGATGTGAAAGATTTCTGTTATTCAAAGTGCGAGGCAGCAGCAGCTGACAGCTTTGTCTGAACCAGTGGACTAACAGTATGAATATAGAAAATTATGGATAATGGGAAAGCAGTTCTGAAATCCAAGAGAGATAATAACCGTTAGTGCTTGTGGCAGATCAGAGGTATAGTTCAACAAATGCTGAGCTGAATTGATTTTAACATAAACAGACAATAGTAGAGGCTAGAGTTTTGGTGGAATTGAGGCATGTAAAGGTGCAGATGACCGCATCGCTGCACTTGTGAGTGCCTGACTACAATTGCAAACAGCTGGAGGTAGGAAGCTTAGTGATTGAACACCACCGCTAATTACCTACATACCTTTAAAAAGCTGGCCTCACTAATGAGTTAAGAGTATTTCACCTGTAATCTGTTTTTCTTGCTTTATTCACATACAAATTTCAGCTCCGAAATAATGCTTTTTCCCCACTGACTGAAAATGTACTTCAAAGCTCTTGTTCAGAGAAAAAACTCAGATGAAAACCTGGAGACATCTAACCTGCTACAAAAGGCTGGAAAGGAGAAATTCTGCAGCACTCTAGCAAGAGCCTTTCCTTACGTACATCAGGTGTGATGCACCTACACAGGCAGGAGGTGATGTGTTGGCTGAGATATTTCATTATCCATATCCTTGCAGAACACATTGCCCATGCTTATAATGTTGTTAAAACAGCAAAGCTAACATGACCTGTCTTCATCCCTCCATTGGGAAGGCTCTGTTCTGTACGTATTATTTTCTGGTTTTGAAATGCTTTTGTGTAGTCAATATACCACTGCTAAATGCTTCCTGTGCAACAGATGGAAATCTATAGTGACAACTTGTGGTGTAAAGCCTGCACTGACTCACACTGAATTAAAGAGGTATTTAAAGAGAAGTAGCTTGATTGTTTGGAAAGGAAAACCAGATTTAGCAGGAATGTTCCAGTCTGGGACTTGTTTAGGGCCAAGAAATTCGTATGCTTTTGAATATGACTGCAGAAATATTTTCTGTCCAACTAACTTGGGGGCTAATTTTCATTTCTATAAGAACTTCATCTGTAAGGCAAGGCCATACCTCATCTTACTAGCTTTATTTGCTTTATTTTTCTACTTCTCAGCATAGGTTCCACAGGAACTTTTGATTAATTTGTGCTGCCTGCAAGTTAGGCTTTTAACCTCCGGAAAAGCTCTAAACACTTTAAAAGCCTTAAAAAGGATTGTCAAAGCGAACTTAAGCTAGAGGTCGGCAATTTAAGGTTATTTTAGCTCTTCCATGGAAAAAGGGACACACTGGAAAGGCGAGTTACACATTCAGTTAACCATCTGCTCTCAGAATACAGAGCATCTCTCTTCATTTGAGCACTCTACTGCTTCTGCAAAGGAGGACACCCATGTAAGGAGCCCAGGCACAATGCACTGTAGCTTCCCAGGGCTCTTCAGCATCTCTTTGGAGAAAAGGGTGATGAGAGCCACGTAGGACCCATTCCAGAAAGTCTCAGGAACACATTGCACAGAAATAAGCCAAGATAAAGTTAAAAAAAAAATTATATTTTCATGTTCTGACAAAAAAATCTGCTATGCCACTTACAAAGAAACAATTTCTCACTGTACAACTATGTTAGAAACCGCAATTAATAAAAAACAGGAATCTTACTTTCCAAGGGCAAAACATTCCAGTTTAACAGACGAGCCCTTTGCTGCGTATGTGGTTTCTGGAAAACGTGCTTCAATCTTTGGTTCATACTCTCCCATCACACCTGTTGAACATCAAAACAGCTAGCACTCCAGTTGAGCTTCAGACCTGTCTAGCACAACAGAATTTCAGTGTAAAAGAAAGGATGGCATTAATAGTGTTAGAGCCTTATGCTTCACCCATGGACATCCACATGTGATGTCTGAAGACTAGTTTTCAGTGTTTGGGTGAAATCCAAATCTGTGCTGAAAAGCTCGATGTGAAATGTGCAAATTCTTCATATTTGAATTGGTGAAGCATGTGCAAGTGCAGTATCTACGTGCATTAGGATTTCAGGGAGAATTTAGGGCTCACACCTTTTGTTAGTTGCTAATAAGCAATGCCTATGACATATGTCACTAAGTTGCCACTTCTAAGGACACCATGTAGTTCTGAGCACAACTCAAAATTAAGGGGTTCTGTGTCCAAACTAATTACGAAACACTTCAAGCTTCTTAAAAATAACCAGATGTGAACTCTGGGCTTGAGAAAGGCTAATGTAATTGGATATAGTTATCACATCCCCAAATCTCATCAAGTATCTGATAAACCAGATAATCCAGTATCAGTTTAAGGGCATTTGACCTTGCAGCAGGTTTGGGATTGCTTTAGAAAACTGAATTTTTAGCTGAAATTCTTAAAAAATGCATTAATCTTTCAGTACAACTCATAGAATCATGAACGATGAAAATCAGTCTCCCTCAGACAGAGTCTTAGCCCAGATCTCACGCAGAAAAATGAATTGGTTCTTATTTTACATTGAACAGGGGCCCATCTAACACAACATGTGCTATTTTGTACAGTTCCCTTGAGACTGCCTGCTTAGGACTCAATCCAGAGGCTACCAAAGAGAATAGGAGAAGATTAAGAGACTGATGAGACTGAGAAAAGGAATAAAGCACGACGATGAGAAGGAAGAAAATAGGCATAAAAGATCTAAAGTATTTACATGCGGTACCAAATTATTAACTTTCGATTTTGGGAATTCTAACTTCATTTAGCATGATCAGATGGAATGTTATAAAGCAGCACAGTCTCTAAGTGTGAGTATTATGCAATAATGCACAGCTGAGTTTTATTTATACCAGAAATATAACACTGTACTGACTTTGGTAACAACTTGTCACTGCTGCTTTGCAAGCAGCACAAATACTTTGAAATGTAGGTGAGCAAACTTACAAAACCAACCTTGTGTAAAGATCTCCCAGGTATGCACTTCTCCATGCAAACATTTATTTAAAGGCATTGCTGAAAAGGTATTTGTATACGTGCAGGTGAGTCCCTCACCTCAGGAACTCACTCAGAACAGCTTTCTAGATCTGATAGTTGAGCTATACCTAATAGTGAGTGTACTTACCATCACTGCGCAGGGTGAGGGGAGTGGGTGGCCCCTGAACACTCTGCCCAGCCTTGGAGTTGGTCACCACACAGGTGTAATTGCCCACATCCCACGGCTCTACTTTGGCAATGTACAGATTTCCCGTTTCTTGTGAAACAAAACGCCGTCTGTCCTCCTGAACGTATAAGGTGCTGTTGTTGAAGGTCCATGCAAAAGACAAGCCTGGAAAAGAGCAATATACGTCATGCATCCTCAGATTTGCTTGCTTCTTGTTAATGCTTTTGCTGGTTGAAAGAAGGAGCCCGTTACGGGGCAGACCATTGGGGATGCACAAATTAGCACAGGCAGGATAAGCACTGCTTCAGTTCTAAACTTACTTCGAGCCATTTCAGAAGGTCACAGAAGTTTCTGTCCCTTGCTGCTTTTCATTTTCCTGTTTCAGCCTATTTTTAGGTAGAAATGGCAGTGCTGCAATGCCATGAGAAAGCTGGCTTAGTAAATAATTCCTATCTATAGCAACTTCCCTCTCAATACTGAGAGCCAATTGCTGATCATGCAGCACTGCTACTCCTTTCTCCACTCCACATGTGGAGAAAGGAAACAAGTAACAGAACATCAACAGATTCTCACTGAGGGAAAGAACTCCGCTGCATCCAAACATCTGGGACATTAATATCTACACACCACTCCTTCTCTGCTTATTTCCTTATCTTCCAAACTTGCAACTGCTCCATACTTCTTGTCCTGTTCTGACTTCCTAACCTTATTCTGCTGCTTTCTTCCATAGCATTTCACACTGCACACCTTAAAAAGGTACATCCATAGCCTAGCCACTTTAAAACTTATTTGGCCAGCAGGACAGAGCTCTATGAGCTTGCCATCCTGCTGCCCCAACCCTGAGTTTCCATCAATGCCAGAGGTTTCCTGCCCACCCCATGCCCAATACTGGGCTGCAGTATTCAGCTCTGCAATGGCAGCAGCAGGATAGAAATTCTGTCATTAACAAGGCCCAGTAAATCAGAACTTCTAAAATCTACCAGTTTAGCTCCCTCTAATTAAATGTATAATTCATAAGCTAACAGTGCTCTGCCAACAGCTTCATTTTTGCACATTTCCCCTATCAAATATAGCATTTGAAAAAGATTATTTACATTTCTTTCCCCTCCCTCAGTTGCAGCATAGGTACAGGATGATAATAAGTCTGCAAACTCCAGTAGTTTTGTGGAGTTTTATGTTAACATCTTCTAACATTTTAGAACTCTCATTAGAAATGACACGTCTCCAGGGAGCAATCAGTGACACTTTCTATCCTTGGCTAAATTCTGCAATAGGCTCTGTTTTATTACAGTATCCTTTTATTATTATTATTTTTTGACATACAGTAAGCCAAGAAGATGCAACAGGTCCTAAAGCAGTGTAATATATGTGTGTACATAATTGAACAGTATAGCTGGACACCCATCAGGCTTTCCATGACAAGACAAGTAACCCAAAAGTGAGTTAAATAGGAAAAAGGGGTTTGATGGTTCACTTCCTAGAGTCCAGTTCCAGTGCTGGCAGTTACAGGGCTGATGAGAGCCCTGACCCATGGAAAGACTTCTAGGTCATCCTATGGCACACCATCCAAACCCTGCTGTGGCTCCTGCACCACCCAATGGTACAGCAAGCTTCTCCATGTACAACAGGGTATACGAACCTTAATGAAAACCTATTAAAAGTAGCTTTATGCTGCACAGAGCTTGTTCAATCTACCTATCAGTAGGTAGGACAGCCAGTTCTCATCTCTTATGATTTCAGCACAGGGGTTTCCACCTGATGATCTTGCAGAGTCTCCATTACATTCTGTCTGTACTGAACCATTGCCTCAGTGCCTATTAATATTCTCATTAACTAGGAATGAGTTCAGGCCTCTTCTTTTCATATTTCAATTCCCTCTCTCCCCACAACGAGGCATATAAACATTGCCACTCTTCTCACTGCAGGCTCATCATCACCAGCTCCCAGACCTTACTTGCCTAGAGCCTAATTCAGATCCATTAAACTCTGTAGAAGCTCTAATTTTAATTGACTTCAGTGGGAGCTGAATGAAATCTCAAGAAAAAGATCCAAACTTTGGAGATCAAACTTCTTTCCTCTTCTAAAGCATAGCCCCAGCAGGATACTCCCTCACACAGCATCTTTTCACAGAAAGCTATGATAAGCAAAAAATATTAATAGATTCAATAGACCAGAAAATGTGATATTACATTAAAGAAGGAGTTACTTTTACTTAAATGTTTCCATTTTGGGTCACTTGGAATAGATCTGATTTGTGCTCCTTTCTTTTTCCTCCTTTAATGGCTCTGGTACAAGGTCCATGCCATCACTTTTGGGTTACACTCATTTACATGAGTAAATCAGCAGCTGGGAAGGCTCTGGTGAAAATAATGGCGAACAGAAGGTAGCAGAGACATAGAAGGGAAATTATCTAAAAAATGTAGCAACCTGCTAATGAAGTCTAGCTAAAATAGACTTGAAAATCGCTGCCACCAGTTATTTTAGCGAGGAATAAGAAGTTACCTTTCTAAAGTTTATTTTGCTTTCCATTTTGCCATAGAACTTCTGAAAATAAGAGCTGCTGGGTTCACATCCCTAACAAAAATCCAGAGCTGTTGAATTTCAGAGGCTGCTATGAAAAGGCTTCAGTAAGGGTCTTACACAACCCTTCGCCATTATCAGCACCAATTATTTTTTTTGTTCCCAATTCATTTTCCCCTTGCACAGAGCCTTGTATATCTGCCACTTTCCCTCTAGGTTGACTACTTATATGACATTGAAAACAAATCAACATGCTTCAAAGTAAGGGAGCAGAAGGGGACCAATTAGGCCAATTTTTTTTATTCTCTTTTCACTGTGGTTAACCTGTGATGCTTTAGAAAAGTAAACTATACGAATGTACAGAAAGCAGAAAAGAAAAAAAGGGCTGGGGAAGAGAGGTCTTCTAAACCCTACATAGGGTTAACTCCTTCCACAATCTATGAGGTTGATTCTTCCACTTCACAAAAACCAGGAAATCCCAGGACCTTACAACTAACTTTCCTCAAGTCCTTTCCTCAAGTGCTAAGACTGCATAGATAAACACCCACCTGTGCCCCGAGGGGGAATGCTTTTAAACTGAGACAGGGGAAGTTTAGGTTAGATATTAGGAGGAAGTTTTTCAGCCAGAGGGTGGTGAGGCACTGGAACAGGTTGCCCAAGGAGGCTGTGGATGCCCCATCCCTGCAGGCATTCAAAGCCAGGCTGGATGTGGCTCTGGGCAGCCTGGGCTGCTGGTTGGCGACCTGCACATAGCAGGGAGTTGGGAATAGATCACCATTGTGGTCCTTTTCATCCCAGGCCATTCTATGACCAGACAAATGGTTTATAAAGACTCTTGCGGTGTTCAGGACTTTTTTTCAACCCCCAGTGGATAAATAAAATAAACATCACAGATGATGGGATTGATCATTGTGGTCCTTTTCAACCCAGGCCATTCTATGATTCTATGAAAGTTAGCCAAGTTTTATATAAATATAAAAGCATCTTTAGAAATGTTTAGAGAAACAAGCTGAAGCACATTTGGGCAGTCTCTGTTCAGTCGTGCTTTAGGTAAGAGCCAAAACAGCAGAAGTTGATCACACCTTTTGTTTTAATCTTCTGAAGGAAATCACATACAGTAATATCAGGCTTGTTCTAAAGTCAGGAAAAATGAGTATGATCTCCTCCTGGGTTGGAAAAGATCCCTGCTAACCTTATGACAGCCTTACGCCCAGAAACGACCCCACTTCCTACAAATAATGACAGAATACAACATTCACAGCACTTTACAAGTTTCAAGACTTAGTTCAGAAAAACTCCAACAGAAGAGAGAATGAAGTAAAATTTATATCATTTCTACCCTCAATTTTTTAATTTAACACTTGTGTTGGTCTCACAGACAAGCTTAGAAAACATCAATCACCTTCCTGTAATTAATTTTTTAATTCTGCCCAGCTACTGCCTAATAATGCACTACAGCTCCTTTTTCACTTGTGCAGCCGATTGGCCTTAGCCCAAATTAACACGTTTGAGCTCTGAAGACTGGAAAATGATATTTGCTCTCTAAAGTAATCCTGGTGCCATTATTGACTCTGTGGGAAGAAGGTGCCTTGAGTGCACAGAACTGCATTTACTTCAAAGGGGCCGCGTGGCAGCGAAGGGATAATTACAGCAACATAGACTTCATTATGCACATACCAGCTCATAGGCTTTTTTTATTAGTGCTGCAACCCTAATTGTTTGGATCTTAATCGAAGACAGGTGACTGTGCAGGATTTGTCTCACTCCTCACCCAGGCCCCAAGCAGTGAGCCCAGCTCAGCTCTCAGCATCAGGAGGGAGCACTGCCAGCTCAGGGCACAGCTGGGAAGGGGGGCAGCTGATAACCATCTCTGATTTATCAGTCTGGGGAATATAACATTTCAGAGCTCTCCTCCTCAGCCCAAGCAAATTCAGATCAATATTGCTGGTTCTGCGGGAGGAGAGCACAGGATGGTCTCAGGGAAGGATTAAAGATTCATAGGAGAGCTCAGAAACAGGAGCAGAGGGAAAGCTGCTCTAAAGCAGTGATTAAGGCACTCAGCTTTGTAAAGGAAGATACACATCAATCCATCACTTGGAAATTATGCATGTTATCAGATGGTTGTTTAATACAAAATGCAGAAACAACATGAGGAAGCAGTCAAAGAGCCTTTCACACAGAAAAGTACTGCTCATCTCATCTCCACATACCCACTCTTCTGTCCCCTATGCCCTTCTGCCAGCTGAGGACTCAACATTTGTCTCCACTGAGCAGGCTTCAGAGCTCTCACTTCTTTAAGAGCCTTTTTGGTTTTTTTAATCCAGCTCTGCTGTTATTACAGCAGTACAGAAAAAGCCCACTGAGTCAGCATCCCAGCTTTGAGCCCCAGCAGCCCTCATGCATGAGTAAATGCAAATGCACAAGTGATCCTGCTGCTTCTAACAAGATTAGCAACTTTCTTAAGGCTCTGCAGGGATCCAGCTTGGAGGAAACAAGCTTTATATCACACTTCACCTCTAACAAAACAAACGAGGAACAGCCCAGCCCATAGTTCTGTGTCAAGTATTACCACTTAGGGAACAACTCCTTAATCACAGGCAGGTCAGGCTCATACTCAGCAACAGAACTGAAAGCTTCTTCAGGCTTTCTTCCTCCCTCACAGATGCTTTTCAATACTTAACTCTATACAAGATGCTTCTCTCTTTCTTGTAAGTAATAAAGAAACAGCATATGTTATATGTTATGTGCATATACAGAGAAAAAAAATTGCTGACCTAAAGAACTTTAGCTGCAGAAAAGATGTGTCCTAAAGAGAGAAATACAGCTTACCTCTCCACCCTTATACCCTAGAGCCTCACTAACAAGCAGAGTAGGGTCAGATGCTGAACTTTATAAGGTGTGTTAATGAGCCTCATAAATAACAACAGCTGAGGCTGAAGAGCAGCAGGTGCATAAATAGGTAAGAAGGGAGGGGTGGAGAAAGTAAGAGCTGGGGTGTGTAATTGTTGTCTAAATGACTGTTCTATTTATTTATTTATTTTGGTCTTTTGGTCAACAGATCCCACCACCTCTAGCTTAAACCTAGTGACAGAGGTGTTGTTTATGGACAGGGTGCTGTTTTTTTTCCATGCAATTAACATGAAGTAAGCTCACTTACTACTGACATACTCATTCTTGCTTTACCAAATCATAATTTTATCTATCAGCAGGAAGAAGACAGACAGCTTACTGTCTCATGGATGGATGCATTGTCTTTGTCCCACTGATACATTTCAGGAACTCTTTGAAGCTTTCTCTGCCCTTAAGGGCCACATTTCACTTCATCTCCTTGATTACATCCCTCTTTCATAGAGCTGCAAGCACTAAGTGAACTGACGTTTCCGTTCAAGACTTGTGGGTTTTAAATTGACTGATGGGTTTCTCTACTTCTTTGATATACTGCATCCCCCTTATAGATTACAATTTACCTTCTTCTTATGGGAACAGCTATTTCTTAAGGAGGATTGAGAAAACAGTACTGAGAGCAGGACGTTGGTGCTGGCTCACAACATGCTCCTTCTGTGGATGTGTGGTTATAGCTGAAAGCAGGAGGTGAGTGCTGTAAGAACTGTTGATTCCCTCAATCCAGTAACCGTACTGTTGATGATCTGCACCTCTTTAATGTGCATCTATTTTTCCAGGATAAGATTTCTGATCATCTTCAGCTGGTTATGTTAGAAAACTGTAGTCATTGCTCTGAACCTCACAAGATAAGCACTTATAATGTGAGTTCTGGCACCTCCAAAATAGGATTTGAAAATGCAGACGGCTAAGAACTTGCAAAAGTCACTGTTGGGGAAAAAAAGAATCTCAAAAAATAGCTTTCAAGAGCTTCTTGCTTCTATCATATGCAAAAAGTGGAGTTAATAAGAAACAGTACTGCTCCAACAATAGTCTACACACATGCTCAAGCCTTTGTATTGGTCTGAAAACACTGATGTTGTAGGTGGATTGTAGCTATATAGGAGGGGTACGAATAATGCACCCCTTGTTTAAGGATAGCTTACATTAAAGAAACCAGAAACATAACATGAAAGGTACTCTTAGCTCATTGCATGTCCCCAGAACTTTACCTTGTCCAGAGCAATAGCAGCAATGGTAATAGAATAAGGACAGCCCAAATCCATTCTTTGGGCTGCACCCAACTCACAGAATCACAGAATGGCCAGGGTTGGAAGGGACCTCAAGGATCATGAATCTCCAACCCCCCTGCCACATGCAGGGCCACCAACCATCCCACCTAATGCTAGACCAGGCTGCCCAGGGCCCCATTCAATCTGGCCTTGAACACCTCCAGCGACGGGGCATCCACAAACTCAGAGCTACTCCACGTACCTCCATGATGTGGTGGAGGACCACAGAGCAGAACCACTCCTTGTCCTTCTCTGACTGACACTGTGCTTCTTGTTTTCATTTCAAAATTCTCAAGATCTGAAGAGAGAAGGAGAAAACAAAATTGTGTTACAGTCAGATTTACTCCGAGCTACATTCCAAAATATGCAGTGCTTATAGATTACTCAACAATATACATTTCAGTGGTATAAAATCTCACTATGCAAACTGAAGTACTGTATGGACAAATAGCTCATCCAGCCTCCTACCTGGTCCTTCAGCAACCATAAAATAATTATTTATGAACCACTTAAACCTTAACAAGTGATTTTTATATTAATTACAATTCCTCTTTGTAAAGCTAGTGTATTCTGTGAGTTTTTCTAGTGACACATCAAAATTTATTAGTCTTAATCTGCACGAATAAGAAAAAAACATTTTGGGTTGTTTCCTTTTTTTTATATCAATTAAACACAGGTGTGTGTTTCTGTAAGTATAAATGATAATTAAACCTCATCAAAACTCCCACAAAGTGTGTGTTTAAGTGATAAAAGTATGCCATGTTTTCAATGAGCATGTTCTTTCCTAAAGCTGTCTCTGGTAAGTGGGCATGTTTTTAATTGACTTGAATGAACCTTAGCAGTGGTTTGAAAGGGGAGGATAAGAACACTTTCAATGAGAAAAAAAAAAAAAAAAAAATCACATGATGCCCCAGGGAAATTGGTGCAAAAACACTGATGCCTGGACTTCCATGGGTGATTTTCATGTGTGCTTATCAATTTTTAAATTATTTTTACTGAATCTAATACAGTATGTTCTACTTTCTCCCTTTTCACTAAAATGTAGAAGTCTCTCAGTCTCATTCTTTTTTAAAAAAAAAAAGAAAACAGTTCAGTTTCAGGACATGATGTAACAGATGTTCTTTAAAAACAGATTATTTTTTGATCCAGTTGTCACCCTAATAAGCTGATTTACTACTTTTGTCAGAGCACTTTGGGAAGCAATCGTTTGAAATAAATTCAAAATGTTTTAATAACATAAGATTTAAGGGGAAGCTGCAGCTCTTAAGTCAATGTGGTGTGCTGCAGGTTCTTGTTTCAAACAATTGTTCCATTTTTCATCAGCTGAACAACTACCTGATCCAGAGTTCAATAGAAAGAAACAGTTCTCATTGGTCAAAGCCATCACGATTACTACCTGTACAGCCTCAGCTATTTATGTCAATATATCAATTTTCTCTCCCTTAGTTGAACCTTACAGAGTAAATTTTTCTTTTCCTCCTCTTCATCTCCTATATATTGGTCTCCTATGAAGACATTGTCTACCCAGAGGTGACTGAATTGAATTAGGCAGTGGTGGCACCTCCTCACACTGTCACAGCCACAATAGATGGTACCTGTCAATACACAGGAAAGTGTTTTAAACTCTGATGTTCTTTTAATTGCCTGCCACCTAGACTGGCCTTGCAGTCCAGAGGGACACCAAAAAAAGAGAGAGATGAATGGAGTGAAACTATAAACATTTTTCTCCCTCTCTTTAATACTAATTGGGAAAGAAAACAATAGCATGCCTTCATAAGAGTTTTGATTCGTATCCAAAATATACTTATCCAACTTCTGAATGTGTGGATTGATTTATTGACCTGTTCTGAAAATTCGCTCTGAGAAAACTGATTGTATTTCTTTTTCTTTCCTGTGGGTTAAATTATTTCTGAGAAGGAGAAGACCGGAACAAATGTTGGTCCTTGGACCTAATGGCAAATCAGCACAGGGGAACTGCCCAAGGCATGTGTTCTGTGTGCTGTGGGAAGAGACATCAGCTCCATATGTGTTAGAGGAGTTAGGAAAAAGATGGGGAAAAGTCAGAACATTCAGATGCTAGCAATGAAAACAGTTGCATCTCCCATTCCTATCACATTCCTTTTCTTGATTTGCTAATGCAACACGTCGTGCAGTTCCTACAGAAAAACAGATTAAAAATAATTGCAAATCTTTACACTCGTATGACAAATATATGTAGCACAACCAGTGGTGTTCATTACGGTTAATCAGATCTACATTTCTGCTGAGAACAAAATTTTACTGGGAAAGAAAGAAAGAAAAAGGAAGTCCGGTGCTGCAGTTAACAAAAGGTTTTCATGACAGTTCAGAATTAACTATGGGATACTTTAGTCTGAAACTGGCATAGTTTCTGGAAAGTAATAAGTTGCTAGTAGCAATTCTTAGTTTAATGACACAATATGTCAAGGTATCATTTTACCCATTTAAGAAACTGTCACCTGTCCATGTTCACCCATTAAGATAATGGCAAGTTTTCCTGGTTTGAGCACTGAAAAAGTAGAAGTACTAGATGGCTCACGGGTTGTGTTATTTTATAATTAGCAGGACTAATTACATGTGGTGAAAAATTTAACTTTGTCTTTTTAACCTCTGAAGCACCCAATTCTGCATGCAGGAGCACTCCCACTTCCAGAGTATGCTTATACTTTGGTTATACACAGCAGCCCATCTTTTCCTGCTGCTGGAGAGATTTTTGTCTTCTTATCAATAGTAAACGGCAGGTATAAAAAATGTTATGGGGACACACTAGTGATCATTTAATCTACTCATCATGTCCATCACAGGTTTGAGTACACATATATCCTTCCAAACAGATAATTATCTAACCCATTAGACTCCTAGGGACAGACATTTCCTTTAGATGATCCATTCCAGTGCTTGGCTCTGGACTCATCACACTACAAGCAGCTCTCACTCCCAGACCTGTAATAAATCTAAACAGGAATGATCCTTTTCTTCCTCCACCTCAGGTCATTATTGGTAGGTAGATAATTGTACAAAATATTCAATGTTTGTCTAATAAAGAATCATTGCAAAAATCCCTGAAAGAGCAAAACAAAACAACAGAAAAAGCAAAAATGATTCGTTGTAGGAGTCATTCTTCTTTCATTCTTCATCTTTAAGGGACCTTCTTTCCAGGCTGGCTCCATCTCCCACAAAATACTGCAACACCTCATTCAGAAAGTTATCAGTAATGAGTTACAGAATTGTCTGTCTTCAATACATAGCCCAGGGTGACACCCAGGAACGAGGCAGACCATCAGGAAAAACGTTTCTTTTGGCTGGAAGCGATCTTTTTGCTCAAAAGATTTTTGCATCTATTTTCCCCTCTTTGTGTATGTGTGTATTTGCAATGATTAATAGCAGCCTAAAGTGTGCTAAGCAAAGAAAAGAACTTGAAGATGAATAAAAATGCAATATTTATATTTGCTCTTGTTATTCTGAATATCTGGCTGCTTCCCAAAACACCACATCTTTGCCTCAAGCACACGCTTACACCAACAGTGCACAACCACCCCATCCTCCCTGTTACTCCTACCTAGCATAGCTCTATAACGTAACATGACATAACCTAATAAAGCATAATGCTGCTTGTCAAAAAGACTATCAAAAGATAGCTAAGATCAGGTGTTTGGCACACATTTAGATTGCTAATATGCACTTAGGAATAGTGTGACTATTTAACAGATGGTATACTTGCTAACTTCAGTGTTTCTGCAGAGATCTATAAATAAATTATCACCTAGTTCCTCTATTCTTTGCATTTATCTCACTTTATGAACAATGAGTGCCCTCACTGCTCTATCAGCTACAAGTTTTAACAAACAAAACTTTGTTCAGCACAGCCCGTGTTGGCAGATTACTATCAGTGTAGCACAATTAATCAGCTGGATGCAATAACGAGGTCATGTAGGCTAAGCAAAATGCTCAGGTGAACAAATGATTCTTCACGGGGAGAGTGGAAATATATGAACTCAGCTGTGTGTGGCAAAGAGTCATCATCTTCAGCTGGGAACATTTGCAGACCTAAGCAGGAAAGGTATGTGCCTGAAACATGGGAAACATCTGTTATTTTGTGGAACGTGGATCAGAGAACGACAAGGCTTCCTTTGATGGAGGTGGGAATAGCTGGGGTGGAGGCACGCAGCTCCTTACCTGGTATGAATGCACAGGCAGGGAGGAGTAATGGGCCACAGCTTGTTTCAGCTGGTGTAAATCATTAGGACCCCACCGAGGTCAGGGAAACGATGCTGATTTATGCTAGCAGAGGGTATGGCTTGCAAGTTTTCACTGTAGGTACTCAATTACAATAAAACCAGGAAGTGACAGGAACACTGCTTATAGGTAAGGCTGACCATCACCATCGCTCTAGTGAGCACTGAGCTGCAATGAGAGGCCAAGCACCTGCACAGGTATGGTTTGGTGCTTCCCTCAAGTGACAGATGCTGATCTGCAGAGACTGGCAGGTGTCAGTGTAACAGATAAACAGAAATTCTTCCTGCTCAAGTACTTCTGTTAGTAGGTTAATTGTTAGATTCAGCCACACCTGGAAAATGTGAATTTTCTTTATTTATCTTAAAACTCAACACTGCTGCTTGGGTAGTGAAAACATCACTCTTCTAATTTCTCCCCAGCTATTATTCATTATAACAATCAGAAAGATCAGTGCAGTGGAATGGCAATACAGGTAGGGTAACAATAAAATGACTACTGTGATGGAAAGGTGTTACAAAGGAAAGGTGCTCACCTGCCTCTGAAGACCTAGGTTCTCAATAGAAACTCCACAAGGGATGGATCTCCAACCAGACAGCCTTCCCCAGTGGCAGTCAGCCCTTAAATGGGGTCTAAGAGGTGCAGCCAGGCTGTACCCCTTCTGCTCACACAGCTGAATTGCCTTCAGCTGTGCTCCCAGGGCTGACCGGGTCCTTTTCCAGATGCTCCATCAGTGGTTCAGGCAGACTCAATAGTTACCATACACTCACACATCTGCATTTTTTTCTTAATGTAAAACTACCTTTAAAAGAGTTCAACTTACATGCCAGCATGTGTAAAAGCAGAAATAATTTTCCTAGGATTTGAGAATCACTTTTTAAACTTCTATCACAGGAATAAAAAGTAATTGCAAGTAACAACTCATTCCTTCCAGCCTCTTTGCTGTGTGTTTTAAGTTCCTCAACCTGCTCAGGGATGCGTGTAACCCTTCTTGATTGGTCTGGCATAAGAACGGGCATCTTCATCCCACTGAATAATAAACAAGGA